TGAGAGAGAGGAGACACTGATCCATCTAAAACAATGAAAAGGAGACTGGATCAATTCTCAAAACTCGTATCGAAAAAAAACCTGGAAAAGTAGGGTCCAAGGTCTTTCCTAACAAACATAAAATATTCTTTTGCGCTGATTCTCCAAACCCCAAGAACGCAGGATTAATCGAATCAACCAAATACTTTCCCAAATAAAGCTTGCAAATCCTCCTCAGATCCCAAAGTTAATATCAAAATCTTCTGACTTCCAACCTAATCCATAACTTTACATATCGAACAAGCATAAAAATCTTCCCATTAAACCACAGACATGCTCACGATCGGGGTCATCACAAAGAGATGAACCGCAGGTAGGACTCACGGCCAAGGATCAGCAGAAAAGAGGAAACAACCTACAAGGCTCTCGACCACAACCAGGGATGGGGATAGGAGGGCTCACGGCTGGAGCAAAGAATGGCTACCAAGATCCCTAACCAAAGGCGGTCTAAAAGACAACAAGTAAGGCTTATAGTTAAGGCAACAAAGGGGCCCAAAAAGAACTAATAAAGCTCACGGCTTAAGGTAGCAAAGAGAAACTACAAAAGCCCATAACCAGAAGCCATCCAAAGTACAAGGTTATATATATATATATATTACTTTTTTATTTTTTTTATTTTTATTTCTTTTAAAAAAGGATTGGCCAAAAGGCGCGGACCCCCCAACTAAACCCATGGGCGAATTTGAATCTTGTCTGGTCGAATATTCGAACCTGAGTCGAGAGGGAACATACGCAGAGCCACCACCAACTCACCTACACCCGGTGCACATTTTCCACACACGCACACATATGTGATGTATTTGATCATAATATAAGGACATGGTATAAATACATGTATATACACGATATATACCATCACAATATAGCACACACACACACATTATATATATATATAAAGTTCCCTCAGGTCACGGTTCGATTCCCAGTGGCACTGGGTTCTCAAATATTTAGGCACATGGCGTAGACTCTCATCATGGGGCATAGGGCATAGGAAATCGGTACTTGGGCCTCTGTCAAATACATAATATATATATA